ACTTCTTAGTTGGGATCAATGATTAGAGATTCACAACTTGAGACTTATGGTATATATATGAGGGTTTTCTTATTTGGATTATTTCGCTCGACGTACCAGTCTCGTGTTATGGATTTCTAATTATTAGTTTCATTAGATTATCTTTTCTTAGTTCAGTATTAATGTTTAGATATCTACAATTTGAGACTTATGGTATACACATGAGGGTTTCCTTATTTGGATTATTTCGCTCGACGTACTACGTCCCGTGTTGTAGGTTTCTAAATGTTAATCCTATTTAGATACGGGAAAAATAAATCTAGGTAGACTATGCTTAACAGATAGAGCATTCACTCATCTAGTAGCCCTTTCCCTGGGGGCGGATGGAGGTAATCTTGCTGTAGCGCTCTGACGCTCTTGTTATTGTTTCTTGTTCTTTTAAAAATACCCTTTCAGGTAGCTCGGAGTTCCGAAGAGCCGCAGGATGACGGAGTTCTTGCATAATCATCGTCCCGAGAGATTTATTCGAGGCTCCACTGTAGTTTTAAATTTTATTCAGACTTAGAGTTAATTTCCATTTTGTAAAGGCAATGTGCCTTAGTTCGACTTTCCGTTTTGATTCATATTGAGACATCGTATGTTATTTCAGACTCCAGATGTATTTTAGTTTATTTTCAGTTGAGACATGACCTTTATTTATGAGATATTATCTTCTTTATCATGTCTATTATTGTCGTTTTATTTATTTGCTTGTTTTGTACCTACGCTTTTATTCGATCCCACTAGAAGATATTATTGTGATTGGTAAAATTTGTTGTTGCACAGTATGGGTGCATGGCAGGTTTGACATTTCTGGGTTCAGCTTGGACTACAGCCATGTGTGAAAATAGGGGCGTCACATATAGATAAAGTCCCTCAAGTTTGAAAATTCTAGAAACCCTCATAAACTCTACTCGCTTTACTCTCTGAAAGCTAACAATGGTAGCTCTATTATGTCATATAACAACTAAGTGACTAAGACCAAAGTACCCCTAATCATAAAAAATACTCCAATTTTTTTAGGATAAGAGAAAAAATAGAAAGAGGGGTGAAATGTATTATAAAATTGATCAAGATCTTTTTTTACTGGTTAAGAATTTCTTTGTAACTAATTTGGTTAATTTTCAATAGGGTATTTTAGTTATTTTATATTTTGAAATGACATCACCGAGGATTTGGTGGGAAAAGTGTGGTAAATTAGGTGTATTTTGTGAGACAACCCATAGTTTAGGGGGATTTTCTCTAAGTTTTAATATGGAGTGAGAATATTTATTTATAATATGCCCAAACGTGAGGCGAATTTTCTCAAACTTAAGTTAGTTAGAAGCAGCGGGGGGGGGGGTTGTTGGGGTTGGTATGCCGGCGCCGTTCGAAAGACATCCACCATAGTTGAGGGGGGTTTTCCAAAATTTATTCTAAAATCATATATGCAAAATTATACATGCTTCAAATTATATTTAAAGTTGATGGGTTAGTCTTCCTCTTAAAATATAATTGATTATTTTATAGAAATTTCAAAATCTCTTACACTTTTGTAATTAACTTAAAGATCTAATGAGAGCATCACAATATTAAGGTTTACGCATGAGACTATTTTAAATTACATCAATATGTGAGTGTCTTTAATCTCATCTAATAGTGACGTTTTATCTAATCGCTTCATGTTGCAGGGTTTAACTTAATATACTCCTAGTTCATACCAAATCTCAAAAGTTTTTTATATAATAGAATGTCGATTTAAGATGACATTATCGGCTAGCGAAATCTCCATAGTTTCTGCATTAAAAAGCTATTTCCCTTATTGTAATCACACAAGAAGCACTGAATTTTTTATATCCTATTTTTGTTTGAAATATTATAAAAAAAGATGGGTACTATAAAGAAGAGTTTAATGGTTAAACTATCTATTTTTGAGTTTGAAATTTTAAAATAAAAACTATCTGTGCACTCATTCGACAAGCTAGTTTTTCTTTTTCTCCTTTTTATCTTAGAATACAATAAATAATAAGGAATATTATAAAGGAGATGATGCTAGTTAAACCCTCGAATTCTAAATTTTAAGTTTCAAAATAAAAAATCATCCACTCCCTTATTTTAAATTTCTTTTAAGTTTTAAACTATTAGAAGAAAAATATCCAGCTTAGTTATCTAAATTTTAATAATTCATATATTATAAGTCGTTAGTATAAGCTATTTGTATGCTCATATCCATAAAAGATAGAGTACATATTAAAATAGAAAAGAGGAAGCAATGGTTTAAAAAATATTCTTCTTAATCTAGTTACAACCGCGTGCATCTATACTACTATATAAAAATCTTTCATCTATGCCTACAGTAATTAATCCTTCAATTTTTGTCCTTTTACTTAAATATTTTATTCACCTATTGCTATAGTAATTTGTCATTCACCTTCTTCTACTTAACCATATTGAGTCTCTTCCTTCTCCACAATTCACACTGAATTAATATCATAAAAAGTACTTTTTGTCAGAAGTCCTCTTAAGCCTGTTTGTTTGGTTTTCCCCAGAATCCAAAACTTACTTTCCTTCACTTTTTCACTTTCCCCCGCTTTCTTTAACTTACTTTTCTTCACTTTCTCCACTTTCCCCCAATAATATTGTGACAACTCATCCCATCACATCTCATTTCTTACTTTTAAAAATAAACTAAACACAAGAAATGAGTCACATCAATCAACTCATCTAACTCACATCATCCAACTTTCCTTCATTTTCTATCATCTTTAAAAATTACTCACATCATCTAATAATATGGTGACAACTCATCACATCTCATTAAAATTTCCTTCCATCCCTTTCCTCCAAAAAAAATAAAAAAATTGATTTTCCTAAGTATGAGTCACATCATCCAATAATATAAGGACAACTCATTTTCTCTCATTTATTCTCTTAGTTTTAAGAATGAACCAAACACAAGAAAGAACAAAAAATAAAGAAAGTGGAGGAAAACATCAAAAATTACTCATCTCATCCAATAATATGGTGACAACTCATTTTCTCCCTCACTTTCTTTCCGAATTTTGACGAACCAAACATCAAAAAGTAGAGAAAAACATCAAAATTCATTTTCTTTCCCCTACTTTCTGCAATTTTTTGCGAAACTAACAGACCCTAACATAAATGTTTTTTTAGAAAAATTTTAATGTATTGAATTTTTTCGGCAGAAGAGTGTTGCATGAAAGTTCAAAGCTGCATTTTTAAGTTTTCCAGGGAAAGCTAACTTAACTTTAGCGAAGAAAGAATGCACATTTTGATATTCAATGGTCAATTCGCTAGGGTAAAAGCTTTAAACAACAAGTATGTTCTTTAATATCATCGACTTTCTATCAAAATCCTAGTTATTCTTAGAAAGTTAAACTTTCATCCATTTCAAAAATATTATAAGTTTTTCGTGAGAGATTCCGAATATATATAAAAAAAATTGATTCGTAGAAATAATATATTTTCTTCTTTCTTCCTAGCTACTGAAACACCAAGAAAACTTATATTTATATCAATTTCTAATTTGGAGTTGTGATATACATAGTTTTTATTTTTTAAGGGAAAAAACATATATTAAGCGTGTAGTCTACATCATACAAAATCCCATGAAGAGAGAAAAAGATGCTGCCTGCATCATGAATGGAGTTATATCATACATAGATAATTAACATGTTTTCCTTTAAAAGAAATATCTGTGCATTTGTTATTGGTAAACAAGGAAACTTGACACTGGGGAGCTACAACCAGTGTGGCAACCCAAATTCGAACATATATCCATGCATTGGTACATATTAATTTTTGACATCCTAAAATTTGTGAATATTATTTTATTTTTTTCTAATATAATTTTACAAGTGTAACTCTTAGATTACAGGGTTACACGATGTAAATTATTAAATTTTTTATATTGTTCATTATTGTGAGAAAGTATTTTTTACAATACTTTTAGTTATTTATTTAGTAAAATTTATTGCAACTGTCTCATGTTTCAATAATTTTATTTTGGAATCTCAAATTTTGTAAGAATATTATTTTTGGATTAATTTAAACTTTAAGATGTCAGAGTAATAATAATTAATGAGACCTTATGATGTTAAACTAATTTTTTTTAATGAAGCCTTAGAATGCTAAACATTTTTTTTGCAAGTGCATTTTCATGTACAGTAATACTAGTATGATTAAGGAAAAACCTGTACAGACCATAGGGGTGCCAAATAGTTCTCTTTTATCCAAACTGATCCGCATCCGTATCCGAAAAGATACAGATATAGTAAGCTATTTTTAAAACTGGGCGAATACGATTTTGGATATGGATCTGGTTTTTATTTTTTTCAGATATGGATCCGAATACGGATATGAGTGTAATACTCGGTTGTAGATACGGATACCTGTAATTCAATTAACATAAGAATTCAGGTCTATTTATATATCCAAACCCGTAACTGCTAACCAACCCAAAACCTAAGTAAAAAAAACCTAGCTTTGCCAAATCCATTCCTAAATTCCCACATTCTCAACTCCATTGTCCAGCAATTCGCCTCAACTCCGACACCCCTCCCTCGAGTCGTCGGCCCTCTCCGTCGCATCTCGGCGACAGCCGTCTCCCTCCGCTGCCATCTCCACTCGACCTCCCCACTCCGCTCGATCTACCCCTACTCCCCCGCCTCCTCTTTGCCACCTTCTGCGACCCTCCACCATCTCCTCCCTCCTCCTCCACCCTTCTCCGATGTCTTCTCCCTCTGCCGTATCCAACCCTCGTTGTCGTCTCCTCCCTCTTTTAGATATGACGTCTCCACCCTCCTTCGCGAGAAGGACTAGCACGCCCAGTCCGTCGTCGGAACACCGTCCATCCTCGCTGATCCATCATCCTCGCTATTCTATAAAGTCGAATAGAAACTCTAGTTTTACATATACTTGCTTTGTCAATATGTGACTATAAGGTTTTTGACTAAGTTTTTTTATTTCATTAAATAGAAATCATGTCTAGTCCTTCGATTCAAGCATCTAATGAAGAACCAACTGTTGAGCCTAATGTTGAACCTACTGTCGAACTCGTGGTTGAGGAATCTTTAAGTAAAATTGATGGAAAACCTAAAAAGAAAACAAATGTTATTCTAAAGTGTGCTCAGATTTTGACAAAATAGATAAAATAGAAAGAAAATAATTGATGGGAAAGAGATTGTCACCAAAATTACTAGAGTCAAATGTAAACATTGCTCTTTTGAAGCCGATGGACGTAGTATCAGGCGGACTACCCATCTTAAAAATCACAGTGTGAGATGTACTAAAAAGTAAAGACCCAATATTCATCAACAATTAGTTCAAGCTACTATGAAAAATGAAGATGAGACTTGCGCACTAAGAAAAGACGCGATATTTTTATCATTTGAAGTTCATATTTGTGACTACATACGTTTATGTAGGGAGACAACTACAACCACATACATTTACCCATTTGATTTTAATTTATACGTAGGTGTACTAATTCATATATGATTCATATCTGTTTGTTAAATATCCATTTCATATCCGTCATCGTATCCGATCTGATTCTCTAATATCTAAACTGTATCCTTTTTCGATGAGTGCGGATATGGTTAAGGTTTTTTACCGAAGATAATATGTATCCATATCCGTTTATAGAAAGCGTATATGGATATGGTAAAAGTAATATCCGAACCATATCCGCTCCGATAACACCCCTATATTTATGTATGTATGTACGTACGTATGTATATGTGTGTGTGTCTATAGCCTGTTTGTTTCGTTTCCCCCACATTCCAAAACCCACTTTCCTTCATTTTTTCACTTTCCCCCACTTTTCAAAACCCACTTTTCTTCACTTTCCTCCAATAATATTGTGACAACTCATCCCACCACATCTCATCTCATACTTTTAAAAATAAACAAAACACAAGAAATGAGTCACATCAATCAACTCATCTAACTCACTTTCCCCCATTTTTCTTCATTTTCTATCATCTTTAAAAATTACTCACATCATCCAATAATATTGTGACAACTCATAACATCTCATTAAAATTTCCTTCCATCACTTTCCTCCAAAAAAACAAGGATTGCAAAGGAAAACTCATCTCTTCTCATCATCCAATAATATGGTGACAACTCATCTCATCTCATCTCATCTCATCTTTTTTCCCCAACTTTTTCTCATCATCCAATAATATGGTGACAACTCATCTCATCTCATCTCATCTCATCTTTTTTCCCCAACTTTTAAGAATGAACCAAACACAAGAAAAAAAAATCTCATCTTTTTTCCCCAACTTTTAAGAATGAACCAAACACAAGAAAAAAATCTAAACAAGGAAAGTGAAGGAAAACATCAAAAATTACTCACATCAACCAATAATATAGTGACAGCTCATACTGTCCCCCACTTTCTTTTATAGCTTTGACGAACCAAACCTCTGAAAGTGGAGGAAAACATCAAAAATTATTTTCTTTTCCCCCATTTTCCCTCACTTTCTGTATTTTTTGGCGAAACAAACAGGCCCTATAACTAAAGGAAAACCTTTAGATGAACAGTAAAATTTTTGAATATCCACGTATTTATCTGGAATTCTCCACCACTTCCCCACAACTGTTTTTAAGTGGCCACGTTTTGCAGTTGCCCACCAATTCCCCATCCTCAACCATTCGATTCGAATCGAGAACTCCTCCCTCGACCTTTCCATCCTCAACAATCTTCTCCTTGTCCTTCATGCTGTGTCGATGGCGGTGATGGCGGTGATGGTGATGGCGGTGATTATGGTGTTTTCGCCGCTTCGCATCGCCCTCCGCCGCCTCCGGCGACGGCGATCGGTGCTTCTTTAATGATGGAGACTGGAGAGGCTCTTGATCTTCGATTTCCATGGCGAATATTGAAAATTTTATGGTTAGGGTTTGTGAAGGGCGCTATCGGTATCGCTCTTTTAGGGCTTTTTCCGAGGCTGAGATCTATCGAGGATTTAGCGAAACGACGATTGAGAGAAATTAGCAGCATCCTCTGTTTCCAATCCTTAAATAATGCGTAATGGGATTTTAAGCTTTCTTACTGTCAACTACGATAAATCTGAATTGTTTTAAACTTCTTTATCTCATTTTCAATATCAGTTATGAGAGAAAGAAGTACTGTTTTACTGTTATTTCTTAAATTGTCTCGAGAGGCTTCAGTTAGGCCTTGCTACAATTAGTATCTGCTTGCAAAATTTCTTCTTGATTACATTACAAATCTCACTAAAAACAAAAGCACACCAGTTTCTTTTGAAGAATTTAATTCTTCAAAATTGTTTGAAGAAGTTTCATGCGAATTTTAGAATCACGCAACAACTAATCATTTGTAATGCCTCCTAATATCCTTTGGTATTTTACTATTACATGAGTTGTATTGATTCATAATTTGGTTTTAGGTGCATCATGCCTCCTAATATCCTTTGGTATTTTTCCAATAATTAATTTATTATCTAAATGGTGCATCATGCATGAAGTTTACACTATCGCCTAAGTTCGTGTAACAAATTGCCAATCCTCCAAAGTTCTCCTAAAATGGAGAATGTCTTGAAGGAAAAGATGATAAATTAAGGAAAAAGATGATCAATTTTCTATGTGCAGAAGTACATTCAACTCTTAGGCACAGTTAAAGGAGAAATAAGGCATACCTGACCTATAACTGAATTTAATAACAAACGTAGTTAATGTGAATCTCACATCCAGGATTGTAATTAACTTATTCGAACTTTTCTTTTTACTCATTGCATGCAGGTCCTTGGCCACCAGAAGACGTTCTTGCTTACTTTTGTATAAAGCATTCAGATATTTTCAGGTATAGTATGAATATGACCTTACATTTCGACAGTGCTTAAATTTTTATTTCTGATTTATTTTTTTAATCAACTATTCTTGACTACTATCGGCTACTTTCATCTAAGATGAGGATGTCATTTATTGTTCAGTTCTTCTTCTCGTGCACTCTTGTGTGCACATATAAAGGAGCCTACGATGAATAACAGGAGTATGAAAAAAATACATGAAAAATTATAAGGCAATTGTTCCCATCAGATGCATTACCCATAGCAAAAGGAACAAACTTTAGCTTCTGGAGATGGTCAGTTGCATAGTACAAATTGACAAGACGAAAATGGCATATCTTTTTGCTTGCATGGTCCCCTCCGTGCCTGCGTGTGTGCGAATTGGTTCAATGGATTCTTTAACCGTAGCTGTAACAGGAGGAAATTTGTGGTCCAGTTCTCCTCTGCATGCAGGTATGCCTATTTTGCCTGTTGTGTTTCTTCCCTTTTGTTCGTCTTCTTTCTGACTGACAATGTATATCATCAGGCTGAAAGTCTAGAAGAGGCTATCCATATTGTTAACAACAATAGGTACTTATTTTGCTTAGAAGAGGAACTTGGAATCTGGCTACAATTTATCTTAGCTCTAACATTGAAGTCACATGTTTTATTGCTACGTTAGGTATAGTAATGGAGCGTCTATATTTACAATGTCCGGTATATCTGCCAGGAAATTCCAAACAAAGATAGAAGCTGGCCAGGTAAATCATTAAATTTGCAGGCAAATTTAAAAGTTACATGTTACTATGTTAGTCATAAGAGCTCTCTTGTGAGGGCAATATAGGAAGAAATTACATATTAAGACTTTTTTAGTATCCTCATTACATTAGTTGGAAACTAAAAGGAAATGACAGAATGAATGAATGGAAAGAGCGAGAAGAAAATCAGTTTTTCACTAGGAGATTTTCCACATGATTTAAATAAACTAATATTGTGTTCATTGCATACATATTTAGTTACCTATTTTGACCTCACAAGAGATTGGATGACGAATTTTGAGGAAAAAGAGTACCTGTAACTGATTATTTTAAAGTTCGAATTTGGGGATTGGCTGACGAATTTGGAGGAAAAAGCATACATGTAACTGATTATTCCTCTGAATTAAGGTTTCCTTGGATCTGAAGATGGAAGGGGATCAGATTGGGACAGCGAGCTCTCGAATTATGAAAGAAAAACAGTGAGGAGAAATGACAGAGATAATATGATAAATTAATCTACTCAACTTCATCTTCCGCCTAACCCATTTTATCATTTGATATAAACTAATTACCTTACTATGTATCTATTTTGCAGTGCAATATAATGTCTTCAAAATACTGATCAAGGATCTCAATGTCCAAGAGGCGGTCATCATTGTAAGTTTATTAGTAAATTCATATTATGTGAAGCTTTTCGTGTTGAATTAAGTTGTTATATTGTCCATAAATATTGGATTATGACTCTCTTTTCTTTGTCTATAAATGTTGAATTGGAATCTTCCTGATTGTTATTTGTATCATTCATAGATATTAAGATAAGTCATTATTTTGTCCATAAATGTTTAATCATATTATGTAGTTGTAATTATGCAAAAGTCTAACATGTATCTTGAAACTTAATTTTCATACTTTTGTTAAAAGTAATTACAGTAGATTTGATCTTTTTTATCTGTATATGTAAAATGTTTGCTGTTTTATTTAAAGACGCTTTCTATATGTATATCTACCACTACTATGATTATTGCATTAAGTCATTGCAATTAAGAATATTATAAGATTTACATGAGCATATATCACAGTTGTCAAGTTAAAATGTCAGGTTAGAGGATTACTGGATCCTTAATGTTGAACTTCACAACTATATATATTACTTGAAGGGATAAGCAAGAGATTTAACTATCCGTGTCAAGAGATTTAACTATCTATGTTTCTAGGTTTAAATATGGAGTTCAAGTACATGATGAATTCCCAACATATACCTATCTGCATATCCTCATTGGTTATATATAATAGTGATGAAACAAGTAATTATTGTACATAAGGCTTGAATGGAGTTATTGTTGGCTATTGATGTCTATCTGCATATCCTCAATGGTTATATATAATAGTAGATATTAGACTAATATCCTATAATGTATTCTTATATCATTACTACATTTAAATATTAGCATAATTGAACATAATATCTAACATATTCTTTAAATAATTAATAATTAATTTTTAGCATATGAAACCATGTATATAAAGTATAAGATAATTTTAAGATAAATTTCAAGTGACAAAACCACAAAAATGATGTGGGGAAAAATTGCGCACAAAAATAATCTGTAAGGATGCCGTGCTTTAGCACAGGATTGATTACTATATATATTATATATAATTATCTATATATTATATATATATATAATATATATATAGTATATATAATATAGGTGTGTGTGATGGTGTGTGTGTGTGTGTCTGTGTGGGTGTGTGTGTGTGTTGTGGGATATTGATTCTAAGGATTCACATTGGATTGAATACTAAGGATGCAACCTTCAAATTAATATATGCCATCAAATTCACTTATCCAATCTAGTTATTTTGATTGATATGATTCGATGGCATGTAAATAAAAAAAATAGGCATATTGGGTTGTATTTACTAATGATCAAGTGTATATAAAATTAACGATTTTTATGACAAACACTAACAAAAAGACAATGAAAAATATTCGCTAGATATCAAACATCATGATTTTTTATTTTGTAGATGTTTTAAAATATTTAGATCATGATGAGTGCGAGTTGATCAGTGCATTAAAATAGCCCAATTATACAATTGTAGATTGGTGCATCCCTGTAAATTACATCTAGGTGGCTGCCTTAGAATCATATTTATTCAATATAGTTACTATAATTAGTATATATATATAATATATAGAGAAGAGAGGAGAGAGAGAAAGGAAGAAGAGAGAGTAATGGAGACCTTGGTACCAAGTTGCTTATAAAATAACTTGGTAGTGACGTGACATAATCTTGCCACCTACATCACACGTCGAAGAATAGAAGCCTCAACCACCCTTCACCATACTCCAATGTAGATGTAGGGACAAGATTAGACCACGAACACTTACAAGTGCTTCGTAGAACCTTGGTACACAGAGTTTCTCCATTTTTCTCATATATATATATTATAATATTATATAATATATATATATATATATATATATATATATATATATGAATTTATATATATATACACACACACACACACACACATATATATAATACTTATATATATATTATATATTATATACTATATATATATAATATATAATATAATATATATATATTATATATAATATATATGGTTGATAACATATATACAATATATAATATATATATATATATATACATACATATATATACATACATACCATATATATATACTATATATATATATATAATATAATATACGCGATTTATAATGAAGTGGAGGGAATATGCCACCTCACTACGCAAGAATAAAAACTTATGTTTCGGTACGGAAGCATACCGTCATTTTTTCTCATATATATATATACTATATATGAGAAAAATGGGTATGCTTGGTACCAAGCAACATTATTTGTGCTGTAGTGAGTGTCCCTCACTTGCCCATCCACTCATTTAATTGGCGGACCACATTCAACCATGTGAATTGTGTCCGCCTCGTTTGAATAATCGAAGGATAACTATTCCACCTCACTACCAAGCAGCAAATTTTGTGCTTGGGACAAGCATACCCATATTCCTCTCTCTCTTTCTCTCGTCTCTCTCTCTCTCTCCTATATTATAATATTATATATATATATATATATATACTATATATATAGGACAGAGAGACGAGAGAGATATGAGTATGCTTGGTACATTTAGCCACAAATTTTGTGCTTGTAGTGAGGTGGATAATCCCCTTCACTAATTTAAATGGAGGGGACCACATTCACATAGGTTGAGAGTTCATGGGATATGACATTTGAATGAGTGTATTAAATATATATATATTATATATATATAATATATATATATATATATATATAATATATATATAGAGAGAGAGAGAGGAGAGAGAGAGAGAAGAGAGAGAAGAGAGAGAGCAGAGAGAAATATGGGTATGCTTGGGTACCAAGCGCAAAAAGTTATTCTTGGTAGTGAGGTGTCAAATTCCCCTCCACTCATTCAAATGTGAGAACAAATTCACATGGGGGTCGTGAGTAATGGGATGTGACACATCACTACGAGCACAAAATTTGATGCTTGGTACCAAGCATACCCATATTTCTCACACATATATATATATTATATATATATATATATATATATGAAAAAAGGTATGAATTGGTACCAAACACAAAAAAATTTATGCTTGGTAAGTGAGGTGGTACAATCCTCTCCACTTATTCAAATTGTTACATATCCCCCTTGAACTCCTCAACCCCATGTGAATGTGATCTCCTATAAATGAGTGGATGAATTGCCACCTCACTACCAAGCACAAAATTTATGCTTGGTACCAAGCATACCCATATTTTCTCTCTCTTCTCTCCTCTATATATATATATATATAATATATATATATATATATATAATATATATATATATATAATATATATATATATATATATATATATATATTATATATTATAGAAAAATAGAGTATATTTTTACTAAGCACAAATTTTGTGCTGGTATTGATGTGTCTCATTCCCATCTCTATCAATCTCTGCGGGACCTATCTACAATGTGTATGTGGTTCCACATGATTGTAGGATAATATCCACCTCACTACAAAGCATAAATTTGTACTTAGTACCTAAGCAACCCCATATTCTCTCTCTCTCTCTCTCTCTATATATATATATATATATAATATATATATATATATATATATACATATATATACATTTATATTATAATATAGATATATATATATATACATGTATATATTATATAATATATATATATAACATAACATATATAATGTAATATTATATACATGTATATATATGTATATATATAATAATTTATATTATTATATTATATATAATTATATATATATATATATATTTATTATATATATAGTTACTATCAAGCACAAACTGTATGTTGTGTTTGAGTGGTGTTTGATGTTCAAATCACACAGAATAATCCAGAATAGGTTGGTTGTGGAGTGATAAAAGATGATGGAGGGGGTGACTTTATGTCTTGACCACTGAGTTAGAGTGAAGGATCTGCACAGAAGAAGGTCGTGAGAGGGCGCGGTGGTGATTCCCCTGTGGTACCTCTGACGATCAAGTCAGTTGATGTAGGTTATCTAAAAATTACTGCAGATAGTTGATTCCCATCAAACACCAAGGATGAAAGTTATAATTTGACGGCTTCCAAAAGGCTCTAACTTAAAAACTTTCACGTAGATCGATGAATGTTATAATCTAACAATCTTCATAATAATCAATGAAAGCTTTTATTCAACAGCCTTCACAGTCAACATTGGGAGTTACAATCTGATGACTCTCATATTTTCAAGGAGCTAAGACGAATGTTACAAGATGACGATCTTTGTAACAGTCTAGCAAAAGAGACTACATATAAATTGACGGTCTCTTTAAATCAAAATGCAAGTGGCCTCTTTCCAGAGTCAAAGCAATAGAATTGCAGCTCAAATCTAGTCGCAAACGCAGTTCACATTCAACTCCAAACACTCAGATCCAGCTATCAACACAACTCATGTTCGTTTGCAAACGTAGCCCCCGAATGCTACAGACGCAGCTTAGATTCAGCTGCCAACGTAGCTTCCAAGCGCTATCAAACGCAGCTTCATAGCTGCCAACACAGCTTCCAAGTGCTGCCAAATGTAGCTTCAAAGCTGCCAACATAGCTTCCAAACCGTTACAAACACAGCTTCCAGACGCTGCGTCTGAGCTTCCAGACGCTGCGTCTGAGCTTCCAGACGCTGCGTCTGAGCTTCCAGACGCTGCGTCTGAGCTTCCAGTCGCTGCGACTGAGCAGTTCTTGTTCCAGACGCTGCGTCTGAGCTTCCAGACGCTGCGTCTGAGCTTCCAGACGCTGTGTTTGAACGCAGAATTCATGCCAGAACGCAGTTCTTGAGTTTGACTCATTAAAACACGAGTTGACCGGTTTTAAAACTATTTTCCATGATTTAAGGGGATCATAATTCTACTTAGGAGTGATTTAAGGGGCGGTTACACCCTATAAACCCCACAAAGGAGCAATTTTAGGGGCGGTTACCCCCTTTAATCACCTATAAATACCTAAAAGATCAGCCTAGTTCAAATTTTTGGATCTTTGAGCATTTTTGAATCTAGAGATCAACAAAGAGCTTGGAGTGTTCTTCAGCAACCGAGATCAAATAGCTTTGATACTTGAATTATTAACCGAATTTCGGTTCAAATCAACTCCGTTACAGAGTTTAAACTCACGCGGAGTTCTTAAACTCGTTAAGAGTTATTTTTAA